GGCTAATTTCTTTCTATTTTTGGTAGAGACGGGGTCTCGCTCTTGCTCAAGCTGGTCTCGAACTCCTGAGCTCAAGCAATCCTCCCGCCTCGGCCTCCCAGAGTGCTAGGATTACAGGCGTGAGCCACCGCGCCCGGCCTATGTTGTATTATTGTCTTCATTTTGCAGACAAACTGAGGCTCAGAGAATTTAATTAACTTGCTCAAGATTACATAGCTAGTGAAGGATGGAGTTGGAGTTTATACCCATGTGTGCGTTGCACTGTTTGAATACTGCTTATTTTCATACGATGTCTGTCTTCATATAGATTTGATGCTTTTGTTGTACCAATTCTTATTCTTACTTCCCTCTGTCTAGAGAAAGCTCTGGTGCCATTAAACTCTCAAACTATAGAATTAATATTGGCTATGTACACTTTTTCTTGGAGACAATGATAGTCATGCATAGTAATCACTTCTATGTTGGCTTTTTAAATAATTTGGTTGGATACTGCATGTTCACATTTACAGTTTCTTTACCACATTTCTGGGTTATTCTCTATCCCTGAGGAACAATCCCTTTCCACTCCTTTTTTCATTTTAGTTTTTGCCATGGAGTGGTCCCTTAATCCATTGTTACCTTTTACTCATATAGTTTATACTTATGTACACTCTTGGCCCTTGGGTTTTCTATGTCAGCCTGTGCTATAGTCTGAATTTTTGTGTCCCCCTAAATTCATATGTTGAAATCCTAACTCACACAGTGATGGTATTAGAAGGTGGGGACTTTAGGAGGCTCTTTGGCACAGCCCTCATGAATAGGATTAGTGCTCTTATTAAAGAGGCCTGAGAGAGACCCCTTGCTCCTTCCACCTTACTCCTACCACCATGTGAGGATACAATGAAAAGATGACTGTCTGTGAGGCAGGAAATGGGTCCTCACCAGACACCAGATCTGCTAGCATCTTGATCTTAGACTTCCAAGCCTCCAGAACTGTGAGAAATAAATTTCCATTATTTATAAACCACTCAGCCTATAGTGTTCTGTTATAACAGCCTGAGTAGACTAAGACAGCCTCTTCTTCTTTCCCCTTTCTAATAGGTTATCAAATCTATTTAGAATTTTTTCTTCCTCTACTTAAATGGCATAGTTACTGAGGTACTAAAGGACTACATTCCAAAGTAGTGTGATTGTTTGAAACCAGAGGTAGTGATTTCTGTATTTAGTCCTGAGATTAGGGCATTGATTCTGCATCAGTGCGTCCCAGTTATTGATAACAAAATTGAAATTTCAGAGATATAAATGTTGAAAAAAGGTTGAGAATAGTGGAGTTAGAGAAACCAAACAAGATAATTGTTGATCTTTTTAAAAGGTTGCTTCAAAAAAAGCTAATCTCCTAGTGCCACTTGGTGTTTAAAACAAAACAAAAAAGCTAACAGTTTTTCTTCTGATTATAAAAGTGATTATAACTGATTTGTTACATGTGACAACTATTTAATAATATCTCCACATTTTATAGTATTTTACTTCTTAAGGATTTTCACATTATCTCATTTGATCTTTATGACAACTTTGTAAAGCAGTCTTACTGTATTTTATAGATGATGAAATTGAAGATTAAAGAGATTAAAGTAACCAAAAGTCACATGCCTCTAAATGGGGAAAGTGGGCCTAGAACTTGGGATTTCAGTATTCAAGTCCTATGTGATTTCAACTACCTTCACTGCTTTTTAAGTAAACAGCAGCTAGTAATTTCCTCTTGTTGACAGATTTACTGATTTCTAGATTATGTTATTTAGAGATTACGTGTGTGTACTTATGTGTGTTCTGCACATATATGCACACTTACGTATGTTACTACAATTCTTTCTACTTCTAATTGCACATTTTGGGGCTTTTTTTCTCCTTCCAGTTTTTAAAGATAGTTCCCAGAAAGACCTGCTGAATTTTACTGGCACTATTCCTGTAATGTATCAGGGTAAGTGTGGAAGTTGAGAAAATGTGGAAGTTTTCTAAAAGAGCAGTTCATTTAATAAGAACTTACATTTGTTTATGCTATAACATTCTCAAAGTATTTTCACATATATATCATCCATACAGAACCTGACTTGATCTGGCAGGATGCTGTTCGAGTCAAGGAAGGCCTAGGTTAATGTCAACAGATTCAATTCAATTCAATAGATACTCGTTGTCAACCATGTACCCACTACTCTGGTAGGTTCTAGGGCGCAAAGGAGAGTAAGACAGATATAGACTTCCTCTTGGGGAGAGTTATCTCTGTTTTCCATAGCAAAGTGTAGGGATCCCACCTTTTTCTTCATGACATCTGTGTTTTATTCCCCTCTTTTTCCCTGTGTATGATGTAGCATTATCTCCATTCCATAGGTGAAACTGAGTCTTAGCCTGGTCTGCTTTGCCTGAGGCCACACAGGTAGTCTTAAACTAACACTTCAAACTCTAATAGGAAAGTTGTAAAACACGGGGGTCATTAAAGCTCAAAGAAAGGAACACATTTTAGGGTGACCTAAGGGGTTAAAATAGGTAAGTGTTTGCCCAAAAAGAAAGAAAAAGACACTAACCTATTCTATACTTAACTTTTCCTGTTTATCCAGACCTACTTGCTCCTGTGTTCTATAAGGATGAACATTTCAGATAGGTATCATAGAAGGTTGCTTATGTATAGTAAGATTTAAAGAACACAGTGACTCTTTGGTTCCAAAATATTTCTCTGAAGTGATGCTCGAAATTCTACCATTACAATTAGAAATTCATTCTTTTAAAATGCAAATAATCCCAGGAATAATAATATCAAAAATCACCAATATACAGTGGTGTGCTTGTGGGAAATTTTCAGTAAATATTTGTTGAATGATTTAGTTTGTTTGATTACTGACTGAAGGGCTTAGGGGTAAATGAGCATTTGAAAGAGGAGGTGACGGGGAGGAGCCAAGATGGCGGACGAGAAAAGCCGCCAGTCAGCGTGTCTCTGCAAAAAAGACAGATTTTAGAAGAAAGTGAAAAAAATAAACTAGCAGAAAAACATAGATCGGATGAGGGTCGGAAGGAAGGGTGCCTGAAACTACAGGAGACTCCACGGGAAGACGTTGCGGAGGAGAACTGGAAGGAGAAAGGTCCCGAGAGGCTTGGAGTCCAGCGACAAGGGTAGGTGGAGCAGATAACTTCCACCTCCCTTGCATCTTGGACTCCTGGTGGGCTCCTGAGCGGTTGGAGAGACCTGCCATCACCAGCCCAGAGACCGCTGCCGCCAGTGAGTGGTGGCCTCTTGCGGACTCAGCGCCGGCCTCTCAGCTCCCTCGGGGCACCTCTCTGTGCACAGACCCTAGCCTATCGGCAGATGCCATAATGCTCCATTCTCTCCTTCCCCTTGCCTACCTGTGGGTGCCCAGAGAGACAATTTAGCCATCACACGGAGGCATCTCCAAAGAACGGGACCTTTCATTTTGGGGCCCTACAGCAGACTGAGGGGTACTCAGACTGTGAGCTCCCTACCCGCCAGCCCTCCCAGGTGCTGCTTGCCTGGTGACTCCAGGAGAGCGGGACAAATCCCAAGGTGGAGTGAAATCGATCCAGCTTGGGCACCCTGTAGGTGATTCGAGACCAGCACCCCTCCCCCTGGCAGGGTCAGGGATTGATCTCCAGGGCCCAGTGGACAGGCCTTCAGACCACACCCTGTACACCCAGGTCACGGTTGCACTGCCCTGGGGCACAGAAGGGATATCTGTGAAAGAGCCTACTGAGGAATGTATGCCTTTGGGGCAGATCAGCATGCCTGAGTGGCAACCCTCCTCCCAAAAGAGGACTGTGCACCCAGCTCGGGCTGCGATCCTGGGTTCCTGGGTAGGGAACCTCCCGGCCCACGTCACAGCCAGGGGAGATCCATTGGCCTGAGGTCCTGCCTGCTGGCAGAGGCCTGGGAGAGACCACAGAGTGGGGGAGGGTGGAGGGGAGCGAGACCTGCTCCAGAGCGCGGGTCTCAGACAGCCCCACCCCCCACACGCAGACTTTTCAGCTGAGTGGAGCCATTTCAGCCCCTCCTAGCAGCTTTGCACTGAAGCAAAGAACAGACCTTTGACCCCTGCTAATAGCAGTTGTGGAGCCTGAGGGCAGGCTTACCCAACCCAGCCCCATCCAGACTCACTCCCTGTCCTACCCCCACTGAGGTGGAGAATAAGGACACACCTGGAAGTCCCAGGGCCCCACCCACCACCCGAAGCACAAGAGGGCCTCTCCAGAGGAACAAGAGCTGGTTACAGGACCCAAAAACAGCACTGCAGCTCGCTCCTCCCAGCAAGTGCCACCTACTGACAGGGAGGTCATTCTGCACACCCTTTTACTGCATCTACTGATTCATCATAAAGGGTGTGGTCAAATCTCACCCACAAACACAACCTACTGGCTCAGAGACTAAACAGGGCGTGTCATCATCCAAACGAAAATCTAAAGGCAAGAAGGAACAACTGATGCAGATAGGAAGGAACCAGTGAAAGAACTCTGGAAGTATGAAGAATCAAATGGAAAGCACACCCCCAAAGAGGAACAACGGCTCTCTAGCAATGGGCATTAACCAAACTCAGAACACTAAAATGACAGAAGAATTTCAAACATGGATTGTAAGAAAACTCAATGATATTCAAGAAAAAATGGATGACCAACACAAAGAAACCACAAAAAAATCCAGGACTTGGAAGAAAAATTCACTAAAGAAATTGAAATATTAAAGAAAAATCAAACCAATCTCCTGGAAATGAAGGACTTATTCAGGGAACTACAAAACACAGTAGAAAGCCTCAAGAACAGGGTAGATCAAAGAGAAGAAAGAATCTCAGAGATTGAAGACAACTCCTTCCAATTGAATAAGTCAGTCACAGAGATCAAGCAGAAAATTAAGAGAAAAGAAAGAAGCCTACAAGAAATGTGGGATTATGTGAAAAAACTGAACCTGAGGGTGATGGGGATTCCCGAAGGTGAAGAAGAAAACCTCAAGGGCTGGATAAGCTATTTGAAGAATTAATAGAGGAGAATTTCCCAGGCTTTGCTAAAAATCTAGATATACAGGTACAAGAAGCTCAACAGACCCCAGGCAGATTCAATACAAATAGGAAGATGTCACGACATGCAGTCATCAGATTGACCAAAATATCCACTAAAGAGGCCCTTCTACAAGCTGTAAGACGAAAGAAACATGTACAAAGGAAAGCCCATCAGAATAATGCCAGACTACGCAACTGAAAGAGGAGGTATACTGAAAAGAGGGTTGAGAAGGATCTGGAAACCAATTAGGGAGAAAAGAGTGGAGCTTGCTGTCTCTTAGAAAGGGTTTAGCTTGTACAGTGGGAATACATTGCCCAGAAGACACCAGGAAGCTGCATTTTGGGGGACTCCTTTTAAAGTATAATAAGTGCTTCTTTGTGGTAGCTCCTAGATCATCACAAACCCTCCTTAATTTTTCCCCCTTCCCCTCCAATGATGACTTGTTGCTAGAGGTGCACTCACGTTTTATTCTGCCTCTGTGTATTTCCCACCATGACACCTTTTGGCACTGGTAGGCACTCAGGAGATGCATAGAAATTCAGATTATTTTTATGCATAGAAATCTGGTTGGAGATGAAAGCAGCTAGCCATGTATTCCATGTAGAGATTGTGGAATCAGGTGGGCAGAACAGTGATAGAGTAGATTTTTCTTTTCCTTCCTTGTTCCTCCCCAACCAAATTCTCAGACTGCTTTCTGACTGCCTAGAGAACTTACTCAGACCTATTCCTCCATTACTTGTATTTCGCATTTATCTTGGTTGGATGTTAGAAAGAAAGGTAAAGGAGGAAACTGGAGGAAACTGATTAAGGTAATTCATTCTGAGGGATGAAGGACAATTCTTACCCACCCTAATGATTTCAAGAGTAGTCACATATTAACAGAGGAGCTTATGAATTTAAATGAACTACTGCTTAGTAGCATTTCAGCTTCTGGGGCAGTGTGGTGAGATAACATCAGGGCAGAAAGGTTATCTTAATACCATCGGTTAGATGCCCTTTGTTGGCACTCTGCCTGTCCTGCAGCCGTTGAGCTACGTCATTGATTCTTATGCTCGGGCCTTCCCCAAGGTAGTAATACTGACCGCAGTACCTTTTTTTTCAGTACACTTTTCTTTTTTTTTTTTTCCTTTGCTTTTGACTAGAATTATATTAACTCATTGTGAATGCACACTAGTTATTTCCTGCCGATCAGAAGGTCAGAATGTATTAACTTTCTCGTCTGTAAAATGGGCCAATAATAGAGCCTACCTTAAAGTTGGAAGTATAAATGAATTACAGTAAGTAAAGCTCTTCGCATAGTGCCTGGCACATAGTAAGTACTCAGTAAATGTTGGCTATTATTTGTCTGCCTTTATTACTCTCTTTAAGTTAACTAGTTTTATTAGTAAAATGATAGTATATCCTCATGCTAAAAAATTTAAACAGTTGGGAAGGGATGAGGTTAAGCCTGTATCTAACCTCCCACCCAGTCCTATTTCCCAGCTGAAACTTCCGTTAATATTTCCTTATGAATACCTGCCAAAATTTTCTGTATTGTTTCTTACCCATCCAGATTATGTTAAAGTCATGATGACATTTTTTTCCTCACACACCTATTCTTTAGAGATACGTATCATCTTAATAAGATCACACCTATCTAAATTTTATTTACATCTAACTTAAATTACATTCTTATGATATAATTACTTTAAATCTGAGGACTCTGCATCAGGAATTCTGACTCTTCAGCAATGAATTACTAAAACCTAGATGGGCGCGTTGGGAGGAAGGGCATTTGCTGATGTGAAGGAGGGAAGGAAGAAGAGACTAGAGAATACCAGCAGTGAAATCTTACCAGTTAGGCACGGGCATCAGGGTCACCAGGTGTTTCACCAGGCATGGGCTGTTAAAGTACATGAACACTGCTGGGGCGGGGCATTAATCGATCAGAGGAAACTTTAAGTAGACATTTCTTTCCTTTTCTTTAATGTGTAATGATTAATAGAAGTAGTAGCTCCATCAGAGTTTGGGCTACCACTCTAGCAATATTAGTAAACATTAAAAAAAATTTTTAGATGGCCTAGAACAGTGGCTTTCAAATGTTTCAACCGTGACCTACAACAAGAAATACTTTTATATTGTTAGCTAGTATGTGTATATGTGTGTATGTATATAACTGAAATACCATACTACCTGTCACGCATTCTATTTTTTATTTAATTCCATTTAAAAATATTTGCAACCCATGAAACTAATTTTATGGCCCATTTATTGTGACAAACAGTTGAAAAACACTAGTTTAGAGTATACCACATATTAGACAGTAATTTCTGGGGGAATGTCATGGAGTGTCTTGGTACCTGTTGGTCACTTTGTGGTGATGTGATTACATGACTTAGTAGTCATAGGGTTATCTATGGACCACCAGCTGTGGGGCGTGCCCATACATGTATTGTAAATACTCAGACAAAAGCAGAAAAGGAGTATGGTTCTGAGAATGGCCAATATAAAATCGGTAGACCCATAGGTATTAGAGACACTTCGATAATATATTAATTTTCAATACTGGTTGTACATTATTAGCATTACATAGGAAGTTTTTAAAAAATGTCCAGACTCATCCCATTGAAGCTTTGGGGGTATGGCCAGGATATTGATGTATGAAATTCCTTAAGTGTTTCTAATGTGCAGACACAGCTATCGTGCTTAGGGGAAGACGAAGCAAGATGAAAAAAGTAGCTGTCAGAGGAAGCAGGATTTCCTTAGTAAGAAAAGGACTGTAGTGAAAAAGAGAACTATTTATTTTTTATATCTGGCCTATTTCCAAAATAGGTGTGAGGTAAAAATTACCCTTCATAGTATGTACTTACCATGTCTTGTACTGTTCTAAGCATTTTACATATATTAACTAATTTCATCACAGCTAGATGAGATTAGGAGCTATTATTTTATAACGGAAGGAATTGAGGCACAGGGTAGGTAAGTATCTTGCCTAAAGTCATATGGCTGGCAATGTGTGGAACTGGGATTTGAACCTAGATATTCTTGCTCCTGAGTGGCTATGTCCTTAAGTAGAGTGAAAGACATGCAATAAGACTATGAAAGCAGGAATAAATATCAAGAGCTATAATAGAACAGCTAAAGTAACTTACCACATTTCTGGTTTAAAGTTAGGTGTTTTTGTTTGTTTGTTTGTTTGTTTGTTTGGGTTTTTTAATTTATTTTTTTTTAAGACAGGGCCTCGCTCTGTCACCCAGTCTAGAGTGCAGTGGGGTCATCATAGCTCACTGCATCCTTGAGCTCGTGGGCTCAAGAGATCCTCTTGCCTCAATCTCCCGAGTAGCTGGGACTACAGGGGTGTATCACCATGCCTGGTTATTTTTTCTATTTTTTGTAGAGACGGGGTCTTGCTATGTTGTTCAGGATGATCTCAAAGTCCTGGCCTCAAGCAGTCCTTCCCCTTGGGCCTCCCGAAGTGCTAGGATTACAGGTGTGAGCTACTGTGCCAGGCCCCTAGGTTTATATTAAGTTTAGTTTGGGGCTTCCTGGCAACCAAGGCAGTCAAAGATTTTGGCTCTTGGTAGGCATGGACATATATTGTTAAAATTGGAGGAGCATACATTCAAGTTCCTATCTTAGCTCTGTTCTCAAGAATAATAGTTTTTTGACCTTGAAGTTGTCATGTACAGAGCCTACTTTCTCTTCCATAGAATGAGGATACTGAAGTGCTTCCAAAAAGTACTGTTTCTTTTAGTGTTTAAAAAGATACATAGATCATTTGCATCAAAATCTTCTGGAGTGTGTATGTGTGAGTGTAGGTATGTGTAAAACTGTTTAAAATGCAGATTTGGGGGCCCCATCTCACATCTACTAAGTCTCAATCTCTGAAGGTGAGTCTCAGGATTGGCATGTGTTTACGTTCTTCAGGTAATTCTGATATACACTAAAATTTAAGAATCACCAGACAGGTGATTGTTAAGGTTATTTTCAGCTCTAAGTTCAATGTCTGTATGTGTGTTATAGTATCTGTAATTATTGACCTTCTTCAGGGCAGGTATAAAACTCAGTTTGGTTCATTCTCTCATTTTTCATTTGTTTGCTCATTCTTATTTATATAAGAAACTTTTATTAAGCACCTAGTATGTTAGGCACTATACTTGATGCTGAGGATATAGAAATGAATTAGACATAATCCTATCTAGAAGTTTACAGTGTTAAAAGGAAAATAGATCTGTAAGAACATAACTTCAGTGTAGAGTAAGCAAAAAAATGTAGGTATCAACTACCTTTCAGGGAAGGTACAATGCTTGCGTAGGGCAAAAAGAACTACATAGAGAAGATGCTGTGTTCCAAACTTCTGGCACAGTAGTCTCTGTAAATATTTATTGAATTGAATTGGATAAGTTGATGATTGTCTTAATTAAGCTTACTCAAGTGTTATACTGGTGTTCTATTAGGAACATATTTCCAATGTGAATGTGAATTAAATGGGGGAAATAGGCTTTGTTTTACATCAATCCTTTATATATAAACTTGACTAGACTACATGTTTCTTAAAATGCCACCAAGCTATATCATAAATAGAATTTACATCCTTCATTATTGTTTGAAGATGTGTTTATTTTGTCTCACATAGGTAATACATACAACATACCGATTCGTTTGTGGATTTTGGATTCTCACCCTTTTGCTCCCCCCATTTGCTTCTTGAAGCCGACTGCAAATATGGGAATCTCAGTTGGAAAACATGTGGATGCTCAAGGCAGAATATACTTGCCCTATCTCCAAAACTGGAGCCATGTAGGCCCAATTTCAATTTTCTTCAAAAACCTTTTACTGTATTTTTCTGAATATTTAGCTTTGATTCTGATGGTACAAATAAGTATAATACTGCATTTTCTTTCAATGATATTCTTCATAGAGTATTTGAAAATAGTTTGAAATTGAGCTCTGTAGGGTCACCCAAGTCCCAGAACCCTAATGACAACAGCCTGTACAAAACTGCTTTTTCCAGATTTGGGAGCCAACTGTTGTTTCCTCTCTCTCTTTTTATAGTCACTTGACACTTGAGAAAGTACATGAAAAGTTACTAACAAGAGATAAGGGCATTATTTCCTAGTCCCTCCCTATTAAAGAGTCTTATGTTTCATTTT